AAATGAGGAAGTCCTCATTGGCTGCTTGGAGGTAGTTAGCCTCTCTCCTCAGTTCTTCGAAATGTTCGAAGTGCTTTTCTGCCGTGTTTTTCCCTTGGCGCAAGATCATAATGTCACTGCGGGCGGCGAGTTGCTCGTGAACATTCTTGAACCGAGTCTCCATTTTGTGGGCGAACCACTCAAAACTTTCATAAGTGGATTTGAGGTTTTCTCCTTGCATCCTCTTTTCTATCTTTGTCTCCATCCACTCCGTTCTGAAGGCAGCCGCTGCTCCTCCTGTCATGAAAGAAAGCACATAGGCGATCTTTCTCTTGTCATCCGCGAAATACTCCTCATCATCCTCGTAGTTTAGCATTAAGGCCTCGCGGAAAGCCTTGTACTTCTTTCGGTCTCCATCGAAGTTCTCAGGCTTCTGGAGTGCCGTTCTCGTTCTGTCTACGCGTCTCGGCTGCGTACTGGGTGGTGTGGGTGTGGATGCGGCGGGAGCGGACGTAGAAGAATTCGACGTAGCTAACCTCAGCTTGGCTAGCAATTCTTCTACTTCTTCTTTCGCCTCTTTCAGTTGTGTTTCGTAGAGGTCGTGGAGCCGTCTCTGCTCCTGTTCTATTCTGGTCCGAACGTACTGTTCCAGTCCAGCTTCCCTCGATGTTGGTGCTTGTGGTTCCAAGGGTGGGAGTGCACCTGACAATTCTCCCATTCCTATCTCTGGTGTGTCCGGCTCTTCGCGCGGACCTTGCCATTCTCCGTACGCTTCTGTCGTCATGGTCTGGGTAGGGGGTGTGGTATCGAGTTCTGATTGGTTCTATTTCTGGGAATGTGAAGTAAATTTCCCAAGCTAATCTGTTCTCGGAGTGAAAGTGTTCTTCTGCTAGCCACTCTTCGAATTTCCCAGGTTGCATACAAAAGAGTTTCCCGATGATAAGTCGGATCAACACTTTCTAATGTAAGATCAACCGGTCTATCTGTTTCCTTCTTTAGTCAAGCGGTTCCTCTTCTGTCCCGCACTGACTATGTACGTAACTAATTCTATCTTGATATATCGGTGTTCTAAAGTATAGTAACTGAGGTCCAGACGGTTGTCTCAGTGATACCCAGCGAATAACCGCGTGCAGGTCTTTTCCAACTGGCCGACTCAAGTGAGCGGCCTGGTCAGAAGGGTAAAGAAGCTCTTCTAAACTAAGTAATACCTATCGGGCTCCACGCCGTCAAGGGTTCTAGCTAAAGGGTTGGAAGGGGGAGTGAGGGGGATATCGACAAACGACTCTGTGGGTGAGACATTGGCAGGAAAAAATGAAACAATGGTAGATGGTCGGGTGATAGGTGTGATGATGGTTGGTTTAGTGATATAGACGTAGAGTTTGGCAATGCCAAAGAGTATGATTGCGATGAGAGGGAATAGGGTGATGATTAAGATAGCTGTGCTTTTGCTCATCAACAGGTGTCGTTCAAAGTTGTAGATTATGTAAAGACCCTAGCTGTTATGCCGGTAACCCGAGCAGCGTAGGACTTAAATCGCACAACAAGTGTCTGACAAGCAAGTATAAAAGTAAATCTACAACTGGGGTATGTACATGGATATCGTGCTAGTTATATAGAAGAAGGCATGAGGCCACGGTGAGGTATGACGTAGCGTATTGGTAAGTAACATGTGTAATGCGTGAGGCTGATTGGTAATGAGTATTACTAATGTGTCACGTGATTACTAGATAAGATAAGATCAAAGAGAGATTAGATTAGGTGAGATAATAGTCTCTATCTCGCGATTAGATAAAAAAGATGAGTCATGTGGGTACGATCGTGACACAATTAGAAGTCTAACTCTACGTATACTCGGTATAAGAGTTGGATTATCACAAAGTGGTGAAATATGTGTTGAGTGTTATCAAGGATACAACTCCTGATGCTCCCACTTCCAGGTTTTGCCATATCTTGAAGGCAAGTGCTCTTGTGAAATCATTGTTTCAATGCCAACAGTAACATGATTTTAGTCAAATTTTTAAGGACAAGACAATGAGTCTGATTGTGGTCCACACTCTTGCATATTTGCCCTGATGTTTGCAGGTGGATTCCCAGAAAGCCCCATCACCTCCTGCTTAGTACAAACATTCTGGAAGATTCTTGCAGTCAACATTGTGCAAGGAGAGTTGGAAAAATCCATGTTCTTCCTGCATTATTATGTATCAGCACATAATTATAGGGCAAATAGGGCACCATGGTCACTACACTGATAGGTATTTTGTTCACAAATAGCATGCAGATAATGAAATCACAAATATTGGACATGATGTGAAAACATGACATGGGACATGTGAGTCTCCCTATTGTTCCAATGACATGTTTCTTGACAAAATAATGAGACAACAATTCTGCCACACAGCACAGCCAGACATGATGAGGTAGATTGATCTCATAATATGTAAGGCTTTTCACTTGATTGACACTGACTTTACTGTCACAGTGTGCAATATACCAGGAATAGGCATTGTCTATTCTCAGCCCAGGAACAATCCTGGAGCTTGGTACGTCTCACTTGTGGGATATTATGTAAGATCCAATCCCTTTTGCCAAATTAACGGAGGGACAAGTTCTCAATCAACAAGTAGCGTTCAAGTAAAGTATATAGAAGTAATCAACAACTGAGGAAAAGTATGTACATGAGTGTTCAGTATATATATGTTTTTGAAGGTCAGCCATGAGGCGCTGACTGATGTTCTACGTCATGGTCTGGATTCTGTCATGTGATTGTCATGTGACTAGATATAACTAGGTATTTGTGTTATCCGCGCTAATAGCAGCAGCTTAACAACTTATGTCTGTCATGTGATCAGATATCAAAGAAAATGAAGAAAGAAATTAGCGCTTTAACTAGCGCTCTTGCTCAAGTCGTGACATATTACAACCAGCATTGAAAATGAGGGATATGTAATCAAAGGTAGAAACTATAAGCTCTTCTGTGGAAAAGAATTGTCACAATCTCAGGCTCCGCAGCCTAATCTTTCATCTTATCCATCCAACTCAGAAGTGGAAGCACTAATATCGCCATATCTAATCACATAGTAATATTATCTTATCTCGTCATATGACCTTAAGTCACATGACTACATTACTCATCATCCTCACCTTATCCTCATGTTTCTCAGTCAGCGCCTCAAGGCTGATGCATGTCTTTACATATATAAGTAGGTAGTCTCCAGTGTACATACCTTAGCTTTCGATTTCCTCTATATAACTTAGTTCAACTACCTGCTAGTAGATTGACATCTTCACTCCATTAGCTCGGTATAGTGAAGGTCATTATATAATCAAAAGCTAGTATAGCACACAGTTGAATGAGTCAAACGGAGGCCACACTCATCATAATCCTAATTCCCGCCACCACTCTCCTATTTTTCCTTTTACTCAAACTTTACTTCTTTTTCACTATACCACCCACACCCATCACATCACCTATTCCTTGATCATCCACCATCCTAACTTTTATCCAACCCACACCCTCCAACTCCTCATTTGAAACAACCCCCCTTTCTCTCATTGTCCACCCCACAAATCCTGTACTTAGAGACCAAAGTGACGTGGAGTCACTGAGGTTTTATTAGTTACTTTCTTTACGTACACATCAGGAAAAACCCTTTTGCTATATAGCGCTATATAGCCACCACCTATATATATAAATGCATTCATAGAAACTATAGTACTATCAGTGCAATCATAGCTCTTATAGCTCTTATAGCATAGTAGTAGGCAAAATCTTAATCAAGGGGAGAAGTATCTATAATTTGCCCAAACTCTGGATTAATCTAATAAACTTGTTCAGTAATAGAAAGAGGCCAAAAGTGTTTGAAGTCAAGTATATTATTATAGGCAAGGTACTATAAGTGCTCTTATAGCCTATAGCAGCCTACATGGCTCCTATAGCTGTGAAGGTCATAGTTAAAATATAGTTCAAGGTGCTTAAAAGGGCTAATAAATCATACAGTATTCATTAATTATATAGCCTGTATTAGTGAGATAGTAGTTTGTATCTTTGATATTGATATTTATAAAATAAGAATAATGATTTATCCAAATATAAGTAGTGACAATGAGTAAAACAATAATCCAAGTCCATGAAAGGTCAATATATAACACCTGTATGATATATTTTATAAGCTCTCATGATGTAGTGGATAAATATGATGTGTGGCTATAGGCTGCTTAGTCATGCAAAAGCTGACTAGTAGGTTGAGAGTTCAAATCTTGTCTGTGTTGATTTTTTTTTATCAGCCACACAACAATTTCCAACATCTATAAGAGCATTTACGAGGGATATGAGGCTCTATAGATGGCAGAGGTTCTATAACAGGTTTGACCACTATAACAGCTTTATGAGTACTTATAGTGCTATAGAGCTCTATATAGCTACCCCCATTTTTCCTGATGCATTTACCCTTTCGCTTTCCTCTGACCGGGCCACGCACTTGTGTTTGCCAGTTGGGAGAAGAACCAACAGCCTAAGAAGCGAGTTAAACTGAGATAACCATTTGGACCACAGCATTTACGATAGTTTCTTAGTTAGATTTTTTTTAGAATAGTTTTACATACACGGTAGTAGGGAACAGAAGAGGATCCCTTTACCAGAAAAGAAAAAGACAGAAAAAGGGAACTTATAAACAATGTGTTGATCCAGATTTGCCATCTGGGTAACTATTTTATATGCCCTTTGCCAAAGAACCACGTAGCATCTGGTTGTTTCTAGATCCTACTCCAGAACCAAAACAAGAACCAAAACAGGAGACACCAGATCCCCCCTCCTGTTTTCAGAACCACCAATAAACAAAGACGTCTTTCGATGCTTGGAGAGAGACCAACCCAGATATGCTACCCCATACCATTATATTGCATTCGCTTGGACATCTGTCCAATTCGATTTTTGACTTATTCCAGTCTATTATGGGATCATGTTTCTTTAACCATCCGTGGCCTAAGAACATCCGGCCAGTTCAAAGATTGGTCACTGCCAATTAGAGTTTTTTGGCATGGTTATCTATCTCCACTAATAGTCCAATGAATTCTTTAATACTTCCATCCCAATTAAGGGTACCATCAGCATTGTAGACTGGAATTGGTCTAGGAATTCTTTGTCTTTCATATCCTTGTTCTTCGACAAATTTTGAGTCTATGCAACTCCCAGTACAGCCGCTGTCTAATTGTTACAATGACACATTTTTGGACCTTTAATTTTTATTCTCCTCTTTAACCTTTTACTGTAGTTTTCTCACATTGTGCCATGCAGCACTTTCCCTTTTGTTCAAACACCTATTTCTCGCGCTGCACTGCCTTTCTTCTTATTTTAGCTACAAGTCTCTCACACAGTGGAGCTGGTCACACGGGCTAGGCCCCATAACATCATCAGCCACTGCCTCTATCAACTGTACAGTACACATGTACAAACAAACCTGTAGTAGTATATATAGACCAATAGATCAAGGAGACTCCTCAGCGAGTCCTCCTGTTGTATCCTCACAACTAACTTGTTGAAGCCTAAAGGGTAAGCACCCCCTCATCATCCTCTCTATAGCTTGTCTGAGTTGTGCACCAGAGTAATAAACTCTTGGTTGTCATATTAGGACTCGCTCTCTCTACTCTCCCGCACATTGTGCAAACCCGGACCCCAGGGTTAAGGGGATAGAATTATTGTTTGGGAATATGCTGCATAGCAGATAGGTGCACTCCTAGCGACAGCCTTGTAGTGCATTGGGAGAAGAAACAATAATTATTGATACATGGCCCCCAGTATTAAGGGGAGTACTTTAGCTCAGCAATAGTGTGGAACTATCGTTGATTAGAATTTACATATAAATCTTCACTTTCTCTTTCCTCTGACCAGGCTGGGCATTTGCCTCCGCCAGTCTGGAGAAGGGCTGATAGCTTAACAAGCGGGCCACACCCTGACAACTGTTTGGACCAGGGTTTGTTACGAATACTTTTTACATACATTTCAAATACTATAGTGTGGGTAGTCGGAGATTGAGATCCAATACTTAGCCGGGAAGAGGTAGATCCGCAGATAGCAAGTGGGGACCCCCAGTTACTTTTTTTTTACTTTACAAACAGAACAAGTTGACATGTCGTCGCAAACTCCTGACGTCAACACTCTGTTGTACAACATGTGTGCACAGATTTTGGCGTTAACTACGCAACTCGCCGAGCTCCAGGCAAACCCCCCTGCAGCAGCCCCCTTAGTTGAGAAGAAATTCAACAAGAAAGTTGAAGTCGTCGCTGACCCTGGCACCTTTGAAGGAGACAGAGCGCGATTTGCCAAATGGTGGATCAAACTCCAAATTTGGGTCAAAGCAAATTGGGGTGCATTTTCCGATGACTTTGAGGTAGCAACTGTGGTGCTATCTCGACTAAAAAGACCTGCGGCGGGTCATTACACCCAAGTAAGACTACAGGAGTACTACATCGCGGGTGTGTGGCCTACCTGGGACAATCTCAAAGTAGAGATTGAAAAATATCTTAAACCGCAAGCTGAGCGTGACTGGGCTCGCCAACAAATCTGTTCCTTCAAACAAGGAAACATGAGGACGGACAATTTTGTAACCCGGTTCCTGGCCCTCCCCACCCAAGGGGGCTTAGGTAATGAACATGCAGTGGAACTGCTGGAACACAATGTGAACCCCCACATTGCAGAACAGCTCTATCTGCAGGATATGAGGAGTTAAAACCTCTCCCAAGCAGCGGAGGAGGTTCGAAAAATAGGTAGGGCCATAGAGCTCTGCAAAATGCATCAAGGTGGCGGGACCACCACCAAAAACAACTTTTCCCACAGGAGCCCTGGGTCATCAAACCAAAAACACAATCACTCTCACGGGTTCCAACCATTTGGGTTGCAACCAGGGCGGGGAGCTCCTATGGATATCGGCACGGTCCAGGGCGGACAGACGCGCAGATTCACTTGCTACAACTGTGGCGAGGAGGGGCACATGGCCCAAAATTGTACAAACGGAGCACAGGCTGCTCACCAAAAAAATAACCAAGGGCACTATCATGCACCAAAGTTGATTGGTAGCATGGACAGGTGTCAATAATGAAGCAAATATTCAAAAAGACTCGCCTTTGCGCCACACAGGCACTGTGCCACGTGGAATAGTAATTAATATTGCCTTTTTCAAACTTGTGGCTGATCAGCACCACCTCTATTAGGCAATCCAGTCACGCTCACCTTTGCTTTTCCATTCGGTACTTTCCGCGTTTTGGTATTTCGGCAAATTTTCGCGTCGCCACTGGCTACACATTGCATTGCGCCCTCGCTTTTGTCGTTTCCTTCACTTCCCTTCCTTTGCCTAGCCCCACCATGGGTCCCTTACTCTTGTTTTTATTCTCACCCGACGGTCGTTTCTGGATCCCCATTTTAGTTCACCTCCTCGTCACCTCCACCCTCCTCCTCCTCATCTTATTTGCACCCCCACCATTTCTGATGTCACCACTTCCTATCCGCTTCCGTCGCCGATCCGTTGACTACCACGTGCCACTGCTGATATCAGCAAAGCCCCGGCGGCCGGTTCAAATAGGGAAACAGGTCCATGTTTATGATGTCAATCTACCATCATATACTATCAAAACATTGGTCGCTCGTCTTGCCTGGTTGGAGTGTGGGTGGGTAGTTTTTGAGCTGGAGAAGGTTCATCCCCTTGCGTTGCCCATGTTCATCGCTGTCCCATTCACTTAGGTACACTTATCTTTTGTCCATCGTCTTCGCTACAGCTACACCTACCACACGCTGCCTGGGAATCACTTGTTCCAAATTGGGACTACTCCTCTCCCCCCCTCGTTTGACCAGGTGGTCCAACACAACCAGTCCATTGGTAAGGCCATGGAACTGTCGGATTTGGACTAGGTGGTGGACCGGTGGCTCCAGTTTCTTTTTTTTCAGCAGAACATTCATTTACAGTGCGATTATTTTTGAATCATTTTTATGGACACATATTTTTTAGAATACCTGACTGACAATAAAGGAACTGTGTTGATACTGATAGTGTTTTGCCTTGCCCTTTTTTTACTGTATCTTCCCATGACATCATGATTTTCCTGCTCTCTTTTTGCTATTGGACTTTACTTTATGGCTGTACAACCCTATGACATTACTCACAGCATTCATTGTTCTATCCCTTTCTTTTCCTTTTTTTGACAATCTTATCCTGTACTACCTACGCAGGACTTGTCAGCGTACATTCCTTCCTTCATGTTTTTTCTCATTCTTTTTGCACAGCTATACTGTGCATAGCCTACTTTTCTTTTACTATATAAACTCCTGTATTTTACCTTGTAAAAAAACAAGAACTCGAGTCCAGACTTCTTCTCTAATCTTAAGTCCTACTGCTACTTTCTTCCCACTGCTACCACTGTTAATTGCTGTCATCGTCACTCCCCACTTTTGAAGTCATTGTTATCCCTTTCAATTAGAGTCCTTCTGAGCACTACAGTTTGTGCGTCAGGAGCCTGCTATCACTGGGAACTTCGTCACCTCGTCATCCTCGTCGTTCTCAAACCTACCTTGTGCTACAATTAGCAAGGTAGTGCTCATCTATACTCGTCACTAAGCCCCTATCTTCTATAAATTCAACTATCCCTCCTCCTCAAAACCCACACTCATACATCTCTGGGTTTTACTTTGAAGGATTGTTATATGTACCACCCCATGAACAACCAGACCACTCCACTGTTCTAGGAGGCAAAGCCCATAAACAAGTTCTGTGGAATCTGGGAGGATTGTGTGTTAGTTTGTTTTTGTGTGTGGTTTTCTAACAGCAGTTCTCATCATCGACAGCAGCATGTTTCAACAGAATATTGAATATGACATTAGTGTCCCCCTCGTTATAATATGCAGCCAACTTTGTTTACTAGCTATTGAAAACCTGAAGCTCCTGTGGAGTGAGTGGTCCCACAACTACCATCTTTCCCTGGAATCATTGGAGATGCACAAGGCACCCAAGTTCCTCTTGTATGACCCTTGCTTATCTCAAACCAATGCTGTATGCATGATTCTCCATGACTTCTTCTTTCAAGCCTTAAAAAAGGATTCTCTGCCCAAGTTCAATCCTAGTGTCAAAGTGTTGATCTTGCTTATCATGTCAAATGATGTTCTTGAAAATATACTCTCCTAGAAGGAGTCCCATAATCCTGATGAAGAAGTAGTAGCCATGTCTGTGTCAGTATATGAAGATCCCATGGAAAGAGTCAGTCAGTTTGTTGAACTTTCATCTACTTGTTCCTAATTGGGCTGTTTTTTTGTAGGTTTTCTGCATTGCAACCATGTCAAAGAAGAAGACATCTGCACATATGAAAACCTCCAATAATTTAAAATGTTGTAGGAATTTTGACTCTGTGATAAGTAATTCTGGCTATTCCATGGTATTTCCTTGACTTATCATTTGTTTGAGGATGAGTCCCAACATGCATGTGGACCTGGCGGCTTAAGCTCCAAATTATTTGATAAAGGCAACATTGACTAGCTTGCAGACGGCAGCAACTTGACTGAGGTCACACCTGGCCAATACTTACAAAACATGCTCTGACATGGAAATGTCTTTCAGCGTCCCTGACCTGGAAAATCTAAGATACAGCCTCCAAAGCAATGGTCAGTGCCTCAGGTACTTTTAGGACCTGTCACCTAGTGTCAATCCATCTCAAGCAAAGCTGGTTGTTGTCATCCACCAATACTTCCAGGATCCTGGGCTTGCAAAGCATTGTAGCAAAGCAGCTGTATTTCAGGGACCCACCTAGCACTAGTGCATCTGTATCTGCATCAACCCCATCTAAAAACCAGAAGTGTCTGGCAATCAAAGACAAGTTATTCAAGACAATAGATGAAGCAAACTGTCTTTATTGGGCTGGAAGCCCAATGGACCTGCTTTACAATTGAATTGACAAGTCAGGGTTCAAGAAAGGCCTTGCTTTGTCCACTCAGCCTTAGCTGTTCCCCAGAATACACAAGATCCTCAGGCTGTGGTTTACTTGAAGAAAAGATTGAAGGGCCTTTCACCAAATATATCAACAACAACAGTGCATCCCTGAGGGACAGTCTATAACAATCTCAGCTTGACACCACAAATTTTCTCTGCTTCATGCAGCATGCTCTGTTCCATCTTACCCAAGGCTTAGTGTTTCTGTCAGATTTCCAAGGTAAATTTCAAATGCCTCATTATTGTTAATGCTCTGAATTGGTGCATATAGGTTGCAGCAATCTCTATCTATTAACCGACCCATAATCACGTGATATTACTATCACATGACTCATTACATAAAACAAGTAGTTAGTTATATCTGGTCACATGACAATCACCTGACAAAGCCTAGACTATGACGTAGAACATCAGTCAGCGCCTCATGGCTGACCTTCAGAAACGTGTATATACCAACACTCATGTACCTACATTTCCTCAGTTATTGATTACCTCTTAATATCAATACTTGACACTACTTGCTTGATTTTGAAACTTACACCTCCATTAGTTTGGCATAAGGTGTAGGGATCTAACACAATCAACAACTATAACAAGTACCGTCTATGAACGTACCAGCAGCTATCATCATCATCATCATCACCATCATCATCATCTTTGCACTACTCCGAACACTCTACCAACCACACACACAACCTATCATCCCATTAACTCACATCCCAACTCGCCCAGACACCATTCTATCATTCTTCCCAGCCAACGTCTCACCAACAACCTCCCAAGACTCCTTCCAAATCATTCCCCTTTAATTACCATTATATTATCATAATTCCTTTGGTGTGGAACCACTAGAATTTTCTCATTTTTACATAGTTTTAAACTTCTATTTCCTCTGACCAGGCCGCACATTTGTGTCCGCCAGTCGGGAGAAGAACCGAGAGCCTAAAAAGCCGGTTAAAACTAGACAACTGTTCACACCTAGTTTTTCTACTATAGCCTTTTACATAAAATTTGTAAAATACAAAAATAGCACAGTACATACATAGTCAGTGGTGAAAGGAAGAGGATCACCTTGACAAAAAAGAGAAACAGATAGACTACTAGAGATCTTAGAAGTGGTGTATCAATTCAGCTTATCACTGGTGAACTCCTTCTATACTCAGTAGAGACTTTTATATCTGGATCGGTGAACAAAACATTTACACCAGAGATTACATTTTCAAAGGACAATTCCCACTCCCTGTTATCACACCAATCAGAAGCCTTTCCCTCGTAATAAAACAAGAAACTCCCCCACCACAACAACTCCAATTCGAAAATGTCCAATTTAGAATACCGAGATCAGCCCGAGCAATCCAGCAGCATGGACGATGCATTTACTCGGGAAATGATGGACTCATTACCGAGAATAGACACTCCCCCGCCCAAAGAAGTCTCCTTAGAGGCATACGTAAAACAATAAGTCGAGAAGGCAATCAGAGAAACTCGCCTTCTATATCAGTCCCAATTAGACGAGGCACTAGAAGAAGTGAGCATTTTAGAAAAAAGGCTGAAAAAGACAAAGATAACATCACCCCCAGAAAGGGTAGAAAGAACTAGGACGGCACTAGAGAAGCCAGAAAACTTCTCAGGAGATAAGAAAAAGTACCGGGCTTTCAGAGAGTCCTTACTTTTACATTTTGAAGATGACACCACCTATTTTAAAGACAATAGAAAAAAAATAAGCTTTGTGCTATCTTTTATGAAAGAAGGGGAAGCCG